GTCCTTCATGGACGGCCATGTTGGCTACAACCAGATCTTTATCGCCAAAGCCAATGTTCACAAAACTGCTTTTCGTTGCCTAGGGGCACTTAGGACCTACGAGTGGGTAGTCATGCCATTCGGCCTTAAAAATGCTGGTACCATATACCAACGCGCTATGAACACCATCTTTCATGACCTGATTGGTACGATCATATAAGTATATATTGATGATGTAGTAGTTAAATCGAAGAGCCGCTGAACGTATCTAGGTGATCTTCAGCAAGCTTTCCTTCGTATGCGCCAACATAATCTCAAAATGAACCCAGCCAAGTGCGCCCTCGGTGTATCAGCCGATAACTTCTTGGCTTGTCTTGTATACCATCGCAGTATCGAGGTGGACAGAAATAAGGCTCGCGCAATCATTGACGCTCCACCCCCAACAACCAAAAAGAAACTCCAATCTTTACTCGGCAAGATAAATTTTCTCCGCCGTTTCATAGCTAATTCAGCAGGAAAAATGAAGGCGTTCTCTACGCTTTTCAAACTCAAGGATTCGGACAAGTTCAAGTGGCGTGAAGAACATGAAGCGACTTTCACACAAATCAAGGTTTCCCTTACAACCCCACCCGTCCTTGTACCACCTCGGCGTGGTAAACCTCTTAAGTTATACATTTTGGCGGTCGAGGAGTTCATCGGTTGCCTCCTTGCACAAGACAACGATGTCGGACGTGAACAGGCCATCTTTTATTCAGTCGGAATCTTAACTCACCTGAAATCAATTATTCAGCCGTAGAAAAACTTTGCCTAGCTTTGTTTTTTGCTGCGTCTAAACTCCGGCATTACATGCTCCATTCCGTCACTCAGGTCATCACCCAGACCAATGTTATTCGGTATATGCTCACTCAACCAATGGTCAAAGGCCGAATTAGGAAATGGACAATGGCACTGTCCAAATTTAGTTTGCAATATGTGCTACAGAAAGCCGTCAAAGGGCAAGCACTAGCCGATTTCTTGGCTCAACATCCTTCTCCATATGGTTTCAGGGGCACTGACGTCGAACTCGGCATGGTGGAAACACGTGATAATTATTGGATGATGTATTTTGATGGCTCCAATACTTTAGCCTCGGTTGATATTGGGATCGTCATTCAATCCCCAGATCAACACTGCTGGTTTTTTTCTCTCAAGCTTGATTTTGATTGTACAAATAATCAGGCCGAATACGAAGCCCTTATTATCGGCCTCAACGTCCTTCACGACTTGAGGGCAGTGATAACACAATATTTATACATTTATATTGCCCATATTTCCTAAGTTTTATGCTATGTTTTCTTGTGAAATTGGTTGTTTGATGTGTTCAGTGCATATTTTGTAGATAATGGACTGTAGAGAAGACGTTGGAGTCTTTTGGTGATTTCAAGACTAAAAAGGATCAAAATTGAGAACAATTGAAGTCAAGAAGCATTCCAACAATCATGAAATGTTAAATTGTTCAATCCACAATTTAATGGCTGCTGTGTGAAAATTATAACTGGAGCTAGAAGGTGCTGCGCAGAACTGTCATTTTCGTTGGGACTTCAAAAATTCATCAGGATGAACTGGGTGTTGTGTCACATATGTATGGAAATCTCTGGATGTCTAGTTTTGGTAGAATTTTACAGATCATGATTTGGATGCTTCGAGAAGAAGTTATACCTGTTTTAGTACGAGATGGTCAGTTCAGGAATTCTACGCGGAAGTGGAGTCCAATGTGAATCAGGAAACATGTTGGGATTCTTGTTTGGGCTGGCATTCAACAATTGCGGCAAAGCAAAGCCTAACCTAAACCTAACTATATATTCCTTGGATGATTGTAAAAAGAAGAAGAAAAATGAGGAACGTGAAGAGAGGGCAGCAACGTGGAAAGGGGGAGGAATGCAGTTCATCATACGGTTTTAGCAAATTGACCTAAGGAAGACGCCAACGCCGAGGGGGTTCTCCTTTGTTTTCTTTTACATCTTTTCAGACTTGGTGATCATGATTGTGATAATTATGTCTTATTATAATTTGATGGTCGTGATGAACTAATTCTTTGTTAGGGATCCGATGTAGCCTTCATGATAATTCTATGTCTTAGTTAACTTTATTCTTTTATCAATTCAGGGTTTCTAGTTTCATTCATTGTGCTTAAATCATTATTTATGTTCATGTTATTGATTAGCTACCTTTAATATGAATTTTTAGATGTATGAGACAACATTATAGTAGACGCCATATGGTTAGCCTTGAGATAGCTCTCTTGGATGAATGAATTGTTGTTGATGCAGACCCCATGCTAAGACACTTTTTGGTTTTCTTTGTTCTTCTTGCACTTAATGGATTTTTTATTATTGACTTAGACTAGACACCATGGTTAAGTTGATGATTAAGAATACTTGGTTACACCCAGACGCCTAATGGATAATCATAATAAAGAGAGAACGAACCCTAGAACCTGAATTCAATTGTTCTTGCTAAGTTATCTAATGACATAGAATTGGATTGATATGGTGAAGTAGGATACCTAGTGTTTCAACCATTGTTTTCAAAAATTATTTACATAAATTCTCTTTAATTTACTACACTTAAGATTACTTGATCAACTTCTCTTTGGTTAATTATTTGAATTTTGTAGTTTAGTTGTTTTCGTTATTTTAATTCTAGTGGGTACTACAAAATTGGATTTAGTTAGGTGACTTTACAAATCCCTGTGGGTACGACACTTGCTTGCTATACTATCATATCAATTCGTGCACTTGAGAGAAATATAATTTGTTCATCAGGCAGCCCGCCTACTCGTCCTCGGGGATTCGAAACTTGTGATTAACCAACTCAATGCAACTTGTCATTGCATGAGTTATACTCTGGCGCCTTATCACATGGTTTCCAGCTATTTGGCTGAGTCGTTCGACGGTATCATGTTCAAACACATATCCCGCGTTCGAAACATCGGCGCAGACGAACTGGCTCAAATAGCCTTCGGAGCACAACTCATGGGGGGCATGTTAGGCCGATTGATACCTGTAGTACGACAATCGCACCTGGCCTTGTTAATCAACAAGTTCTCTAACACGACCACGTGATCCGTACACGAGTGATGTCCTTACCTTCATTGTTAGAATGAGGAGATCCTGTAGATGTGTGTGTTGTCGAGACATTACCAGATGACTGGAGAATGTCAATCATGCGATATCTCGATAACCTCAGTGACAAACACGACCGTAGGACAAGGCTCCATGCCACAAATTATGTGTTGTATCAGAATGAGTTGTACTAGAAAGGTGAGGATGGTTTATTGTTATTATGCTTCAGCCTACAGGAGGCTGCCTAAGCAATCGCAGAAGTACACGAAGGAATTTGTGGGGCTCATCAATCTGGATGCAAGACGTGTTGGCTGCTTCGCCGACACGGCTATTTATGGCTGAGTATATTGAAGGATTGTATCGAGTATGCACAAGGATGTGTAGAATGTCAAATTCATGGGCCTATATAAAAAGTCCTGGCCGAATTACTTCTCGGTCACCAAACCTTGGCCGTTCAAAGGATGGGCCATGGATGTAATCAGTAAAGTTACGTCATTTTCTGAATCAGCAAAGCATGCATGGATACTCGTAGCAATTGATTATTTCACCAAATAGGTCGAGGCAAAGTCATAAACCAAGTTAACCTCGAGAGAGGTTTGTATTTTCATGGAGGAAAATATTGTAACAAGATTCGTTGTACCAGAATCGATCATAACTGACAACAGCACAATCTTCACAGCCGATAGGTTCAAAGAATATACGGCGAACTTGAGAATCTGACTCGAACAATCCACGTCGTATGACCCACAAGCAAATAGACAGGCCAAAGCAAGTAATAAAGTTTTGATCGGCATTCTCGAAAAAAATGATAAAAGAAAAGCCAGGCATGTGGCATTTGAAGTTAAACGAGGCTTTATGGGCATATCGAACTTCACTCCGATCAACAACGGGGACGACCTATATGCGTTGACCTACGGGCACGACGCGATGCTACTTGTCGAACTAAGTATAAACTCGTTACGAGTAGTCGAGCAAAGCAGTTTGAGTAGTGCCGAATATAATTAGGCCATGAGGCAAGATTTAGAGGATTTAGAGGAAGCTTGGCTTGATGCTTACAATTTATTGGTAGCATAGAAAAATATCGCCTAATGAGCTTATAAATGACAGGTCAAACAAAAAACATTCAGCGAAAGGGAGCTAATTTGGCAAACTATGCTACCAATAGGAATTAAGGACCTCAGATTCGAAAAATGGTCGTTGAATTGGGAAGGACCATTCATCGTCCACAAAGTTCTTGGCAAATGGGGCATACCATATGAAAAACCGAACAGATCTAATTCATAAACTACCAATCAATGGGAAATTTTTAAAGTATTATTATCCAGTCACTTGGGAGATGTGAGAATAAAAAGTTCATTTCATTAATTTTGCAAAAGGGTGTACAAGTGAAGTTACACATAATTCCAACAATTTATTACTAAAATCAAAATCTTAAGGGGTCGAGGGAAGGGAGGCTTCAAGAGTGGTTTTTAATTCCAACCACCTTACTTCACCCATTGTGATTTCGGCCTGTCTTGTTCTTTTATTAAGCTGAAGTTGATGTATCTGCTTTGCGCCAGCTGCGAAGTCTGTTAGTCGAGCCATATTCACTTCAAAATCCTTTTCGAGTTCTGAAGTAACAGTCGACCTTTGCAGTTGAAGTTTGGCAACTTCACATTGAAGTTCGGCAATTTGATGATCAAGGTCGGCTAGCCGCGTTTTCTTTTCTTTTACGACATCAACTTCCGGTCGACTGGCTTCATGAGCAACCTTTGCAACCTTTAGGTCATCCTCAGCCGAGAGAGCCCTTTCAAAAGCAGTAAAGTGTTGCCGGGTCCACTCTAGGATATCGGATAAGTGGACGACACTTTCGGTGCTTAGCAAGCCACAGGCTACAAGATCGTTTAGGCACTCTCCTACAAAGTCAAGGCCTTTACACTAAAGGACTTGAGAGGCCGAAAAGGATAGGAGTTCCTGCAACTTGGCGGAGACATTGGATTCGGTAGCAATCGCAGAAGGTTCGGTCGATGCGACAAAAGGCCCGGCTACTCTAGAAGTACTCGAGAGGAGAGCATCGAGCTCGACTTCCCATGAAGGCTGCACATGAAAAGATTTTAGAAAAAAGGAAAATCGTGAAGAAGATAGTAGAGAGAATTTGTTTTAGACCTGCTAATAGAAGACTTCGGCCATGTCCCCTGTTTCATTGCTCGAACCTAGAGAGCTTAATGGCCGAGCCCAGTGTTTAAGACTACTTTTTAATTCACGCTGCTGATTAAGGTTATCTATGTTCGACGGCTACTGAGGTGGCCATGAAATATAGATGACACCCTTCGGCGTATAGAATTTTCGATGAAACGAGTAATTGGGCACTTGACATTTAATATTTTTTTGGTTTAGAATTCTAAACCAGAAAGCTAATAAAAGGATAATGAAGGTTCTTACGAAGGCCGAAGTAACCTCCTGTAAAGAAATGCCGAGATTTTGATCTTAGGGATGAATCGGCGTTTCTACCGTCGCTTCCATTTCGACAGAAGAAACTGCTTCATGTCTTGCATTTACTTCGATAGCAAAAGGGTTGACTTGGCCAGCCATTTCGATTACCGGCTGAGGAATGGTGGGTGGCAGCTCGGCCAGTTGGGGGTTCTTCGCTCTCGTCCTCCTATACAGAAAAAGGTTGTTCATTAATTAGGACATCCAGTAAGGTAGAGGAGGAAAATTGCTAACAAACTGGTCGTACCTCTTCTTCAACAACAATTATTGGTTTCTTTTTTGGACTTGGGGAAGGGTTCTTCTCAGCCAAAGTTGCCACCTTCCTCACAATAGCAGCTACTGGGCCGACCACAAGAGTAACAACCGACCTTGGAATTGCAGGACCCTCGACCAATGGAACAACGACTGGTTCGACCACAACCGGAATAGTGGGGTGAACTTCAGTCGGTTGATCCATCGAATGATCTTGCGGTCCTTTCACCGAGACATCAACGACAGGAGGAGGGAGAAACACACTAAGAACAGTTGCCCCTGTTGTTTGACTTGAGATCACAAGAATCTCTCGCTCCCCCTTCTTTGCCTTCTTTTTATGCGTTTTTGGAGTGGGGAAAACTTACCAACCACCCCAATCTCTGGGCGAGGCCATTTATTCCGTGTTACTGACACAGTAGTGGCCGCCATTGGAGTACGAGAAGCTGCAGGAACTTGGAGAGTTGTAGCCTTCTTTGGGGGAGCAAGCTTCTTTTTTGCTACAACCGTCGAGGTCGTGTAGGCCCGCTTTAGTGGATAACCTACTAAAAATGAATTTAAGTTAGGTTGATAGTTTTGGGCAAGAAATAGAAATAAATAAAGACGTATGCCTTGGGTCATTTCTTTAGATTTTAGGGCAGGAGCTTTCCTTGGACGATTGTTGAAAAGAATTTTGACAACATCCTCGATCGGTGTGCTAAAGAATTCTTGGATGTATGTGTCCCACCAATCAGCAAAGGTGTTGGTGCTGTGAGTTTCCGGGACATTTGGCCAAAGGTGGAATTTCGTGCACCTCTCTTAAAATTCTTTCTCGGCTTCTTTACACTCTCTCTCAGACGAACTAGAGAGACGTTCTCGACTTAGAAGAGATTGGGAGGTAAGTAGAGGCACATGGTAGCCTTGGAGGAAGCCAAGTTGCCAAATGGTAAAGTGGGGGTGGTAGACTTCCCAATTCGCGCGTCGAGCGTCACAACCAAGAGGGAGGTCGCGAGTTAGCACGAACGCCCCCCAATTTTGTATAAGGATGGTGTCTTTGGTCTCATCCCATGCCGAGGATGGAAGCTTAATGGAAGATGGGTACTTTTGAAGACGACCGATCAAGAATTCATCGTTAGAAAGATCTTTTAGGCCGAAGAAGTACTTGAAGACTTCTTCGGCCGAGTGAGGAGGAACTAGTCTAAAGGCTAATTGAAGACCTAGTGCTTTAGAGGACTTGAAGCTGGGGATTTCTGGCCTCAAGCTGGTGAAGTAGACCTGCAGCCAGAGCTGGAAAAACCCAGAGTTTGTCGTTTTGGTGTGGGTCAATTTTGGCGACTGTTGATTCGGCCAGGCAACGCATAAGGTTGGCAAGGATGGCCGAACTAAGAGCTAAGGTGTGACCACTGGCCAGGGCTTCAGCCACTGGCATATTTTCGATCAAACATTTATTTGACTTGGTACAAACAATAAATTTGTTATACCAGTAGAATATGAAGGCTTCATGTTCCCCTTTCTGTAGGTTTTCCTCCTTTCGGCCAGCAAAGTGGTAGATGAGAGTGTTATAGTTAAAGAAGTTCTTATGCAGCTCCTGGACTTCATCTTTTAGGGGTTCTTGGTCTGTCTTCTTTAGGGCCTCGGCGGCACGCTCGTTGAATAATGATTTAAGGTCTAAGTCGAATTGATACCCAGGAATGACGGTATCAACTGGAAGACCAGATGGAGAAGTGCCAAGGATGGCCGATATGTCGAGCATGGTGGAGCCAATAGGGTTGAGAGAGAGTATCATTGTGTTGGTGGTTAAGCACCAAAAGCTCAGGGCTACTATGAGAAGCTCCCGGTCCATGACAATTTCAACAGTTGAAAGATTGATGGCATCATAAATGCCAAGAGTTTTCCACTCCGTATTGAAGAACTTTTCCATTCGTTCGACCCAAGCCGCCTAAGATACAGGGGTCGAGGGCCAGGCTCCTTGAGGCCTGGCCAAATCCTACTTCGACCAATCATACCCTTTGAGCAAATGTTTCAAGCATTAGACCTTGAGCATGTCGATGATGGCCTTTGGGACGACATCTTTGAAAAGTGGTCCTAAGATTTGGTGGGTAGCATTTGAATCGCCTTCAAACCGTAGGGTCTTGATAGCATTTTGGTTGATGAAGTCCTTGCAGTTGGTGCACTCCTCAGAAAGGTTGGTAATAAAAGTGTTGGAAGCCGTTGATGAAAACTTAAGGGATTTTCTAGTTTAAGTTTTTCTGGGTTTGAGATTTCTAGGTTGTGAGAGCAATTGGCAAGAGATTCAATAATTTTAAGAGTGTAAAATTCGAATGAAAGTGAGTTGAGTATTTATAGGCATTTTTGGAGGAAGATCAACAGTTTAGTTTTTTTTTTAAATGGGTGATAAAATCGACAGAGGATTTTGTAATCATGATGAATGTTCAAAAAATCCAAGTGAAGAGTCCGAAGAACTCGTGGAAAGGATGCACAATTGCATGTGGCGACGGGTTTAATGGTGAAAAGACGTATCGATGGTTGCACGATTCAAGAGTCATTATTAAATGCAGACGAGTAAGCTGAGGGATCATCACGTGGCAGAGCATCTGACACAATTAAGATCGTGCAATCGTGCTTCATAAATGCACCTGAGTGAACGGAATATCAAGACTTTTCGTTGTCTTTTAAAGATATACTAAAGGTTTGATTTCACTTTTTCAAGGTCGAGGCTCGACTAGGTGTTTAAGCCAAGGACCTCAGAAGCGAGGGGGCAATGTTTGGACCCAAAATGTTATTTTGGGTCAAGCTCAGAAATATCCTCGACCCAAAGGTGTTTGTTTAAAATCTTGTCATGGGTCGGCCTTATCAAGGTTGGCTGAATCCTGTTATGAGGAGTTTGTTTTGGATAAAGGTGAAGTTGTCGAGACCTGGTATGATAAGGAGTCCCAGAGATACTGTGGAACTCAGGAAGTGAATTTGGCTTGTTTAAAAGGTGGGTTCAAAGTCCTAGTTGAATTAGGATTGGCCGAGTCCTAGTTAGATTAGGTTGAGGAATCCTAATCTAGGAGTGGTTCTAGCTCAGCTATGAGAGATTGCTATAAATAGGAAAGGGTGTGAATCATTCCAGCTCTCTCCAATTCAACACACAAACTGCCCTGCGCAAAGTCTCACTCTACGCGAAACCTCTCAACAACTTTGAGATTTTTATTTTCTTTTTCTCGCCGACACATCTTCAGTTTGGATAAACAACACTGTGAAGGCAACTGGTGATATCTTCAGTTTGGATAAATAGCACTGGAGTCGTAGAATCAGCCGATCAAGGAGCACCTTCAGTTTGGATAAACAACACTACTTCTCGATCGACTGATTACCTATCCAAGTCTCGATTGACAAGGATTTTCGAATCCTTGTTGGTAGAGGTCATCTCATCAGCCTTCTCGGCGAAGTGAAGTGTTACAGATTACTGGGCTCGGCGCATTAAACACCGAGTTGTTTTATGATTAGATATTCACAAGTAAGTTTTAGAGTTCGACATTCTGACGGTCGAACTACATTCACCATCAAGACATGCATCTTTTTTTAGTACTTGTGTCCGTATAGTTTGGTGCCAGTTCGGCGTGCTTATACTCTTACGAATATAATCACCGTGACCGAACCCAGTGTCGACTATCTGTGAACTTCGCAAGACTAGCAGCCTTGTTTTCAGGCTCTAGAACCCAAAGGTCAATACATGTTCCTTCCTCGACCGCAATCGCAAGATCAAGAAGTCAGCAGCGCGCCCAACGCGACATCAACAAATTTTACTCTCCGGCCGAGCTGGACCGACTAGTTGGTATGCCCCGCACACAACCGAATGACGTAGTTAGCTTATTGATTACTAGGCTAGCATGCCATGTATGTTTGGTAGTTTTTAGGGTCAACAGTACCATAAAACCATATGTACCCATATTATAGGTAATCAAACGTACCAATATAATCAAACGATCATACATTCGAACGTGCTGTAATAAAATTGTAAGAAAACTGTTTAATCAAATTCTTAAAAAAAAAACATATGTTTAATCAATGAAATTGAAAAACGAGGTGCCTATATTTAAACACCCCAAAAAAATATCAAAAAAGAAAAAAGTTGTCTTTTCTAAGAATTCTTCAATGTAACAATTCTGAAATCAAACCGATCGCGATTAGTATTAACGTGACGCATCACACGTAGGTCATTGTTAATGACGCGTTATTATTTGAAGTCTTGGTCGTTCTGTTTTCAATTTGTTTAAGCTGACTGAGTGCAGCTGCAAAGAAATGATGGAAGTTGGAGTAGTTGACGAAAAAAATGTCCGAGTTTGAATTAGCATCCCCCCATCCCCAATATAACTCGAGGCGACTTGGGAGCCTAATTAAGTATAATTTAGAGTTGATCCAGAAAAGGAACCAATTGGCAATAAATTAGCATTTCCGAATTGTTGGTATGAGGCAGCTGCAACTGGGGCAGGCAATTGGCAATAAATTAGCATTTCCGAATTGTTGGTCGCCTCCTATAAGTGAGAACCTACATGGTTCACAAATCCTCCATTGCAATTTGCATTTGTGCTCTTATTTCAGCTTTATACTTTATAGGAGATCTGAGAGAAAGGTGGAAGCATGGATCCTTCTCTGTATGAAGCAGCTGCAACTGGTGATGTTGGCTTCTTGGAATGACATCTAACAGCTGATCTCTTTCAGAAAACACCTAAAGAGAACAATATTCTTCACATTGCAGCTGAATTCAAGCAAATAAAGTTCTTCACAAAAGTGAAAAAAAAATCCCGAATCACCCCGGTTTTGGGCCACCAACAAGAATGGCGAAACTCCTCTACATGTTGCTACGAGAGTACGATGTGGTTGTCGGAGAACAATTCAGAAATAAATAAAAATAACAGAACTCTAAATTGTAGAATATTTATTAATCAAAATACTTGCAGTGCAGAATGAAATACAGAAATAAATACAAGAACATCAATGGTACTAACGTGATTACCGAAGGTAAAGGCTAACGTAATAGCTATGTCGTTCGAACAGTATTTACGTCCCACTCTTATGCTTGTGGTTCAACAACGTCTGTTCGATCAGGATTCAACTACCTAATTATACAATCCACACTGGATTCTAGAATTCTAGCGAATTTGCTTTGTGTGTTTACTCTCTGGAAATTTCGTAAGAAAGAAAGGAGGAAGAAAAGATATCTGGAATGGAACTGAGGACTCCAGTTATATAGGCTCTTTCATACCTCTTCAAATACCTTTTGGATGTATCTGTCTATTAATCAAAACATTTTTAATTAATTTTAATTAAAAACTTAATTCAAAAATTAAAATTAATTGATCAGATTAATTTTAATTATTAGGCCCCAAGTGCCCAAGACCCTTGTCTTGATTTGTTGATGCACAAAATCAGTGAGGATTTTGGTACAACAGAAAGTGTTAAGTTTG